CATTGACTTTTCCAAGACAGATGTTCTTTGTAAGCCATCTGGCTACCATGAGAGATTCGTTCATGAGGCTATCCACATATACAAGCACAGAGACAATTTCAACCGAGAAGATGGATTCTGGCTTGGCAATCATTTGAAAGATTTGATAAACCATTTCAGGTATTAATTGATTGTTCACGCTTACAGTGGCTTTCAGACAGCATACATTAAAAATAAAAATTTCGTCTTCCCCCTCCTCTTTTCAGAACATAGATGGACTAGTCCGTCTAAATAAACTGCCAAATCGCTGCACGTGGCGCTAACGTTTTTTAAATAAATAAATAAACCGTTTAAAAATAAATTAATGTATGCAAACCGACACACCTGAAGACGACCGTTTGTGTTATGGTCGAAACGTCGTGAGAATTTTTATTGTTTTATATATATTTTATTATTTTGTTGTTTCCCTTCAACGTGACTTTACCGAAAGAACTAAGCATATGTTGTTGCTGTCGTTGTTGTTGTCGTCGTTGTCGTCGTCGTTGTAATTACCCGCGAAACGTTACGGTACTCGAATTGTAAATATTGTCGTGGATTTACTCTCCAACATACACTACACTATACACTACACTATACACTACACTATACGCTACACTATACACTACACTATAGACTACACTATACACTACACAATACACTGCACTATACACTACTGTACACTACACTATACACTACACTACACACTACACTACACACTACACTATGCACTACACTATACACTACACTATACACTACACTATACACTACAATATACACTACACACTATACACTGCACGAAACACTATACACTAAACCATACACTACACTATACACTACATTATACACTACACTATACACTACACTATACACTGTACACTACACTATACACTACACCATACACTACTATACACTACACTATACACTAAACCATACACTACATTATACACTACACTATACACTACAATATACACTATACACTAAACCATACACTACATTATACACTACACTATACACTACACTAAACACTACAATATACACTACACTATACACTACAATATACACTACACTATATACTACACTATATACTACACTACACTTTAATTGTAAATGTTGTAGTGGGTTTACTCTCCAACACAACAATAACCGGTTAGTACTCTACTAGTATGCTACACTATACACTACACAGTATACTACACTATACACTACACTATACATTACACTATACACTACACAGCATACTACACTATACACTACACTACACAGTATGCTACACTATACACTACACTATATTAAATTATCTCAAACACAACTGTCGGCAGTGGCAGAACATGCTTGTCAACAAGGACACTCAATTGAGTTTGACAATGTTGCAGTGGTGTGTAAAACTAATTATTACTGGCAAAGACTAATTAGAGAATCCATTGAAATTGAGAGGAACAAGAATAACTTTAATCGCTCTGACAGCTACCGGCTTAGTGTGGCCTGGAAGCGTATTATTAAATAATACACATTACATTTAGATTTAAAGAATTACTAATCTACAACTCATTACTAATCATAACCAATGACTGATTATTAATCGATTATATAATTACAATACCCCCCCCTCCGCCTCTAATCACTGCACCTGATATGAGTTAAGTGATGACGTCACCCTGCTGCTCTATATAAAACCGGGAGCAAGCGAGGGCTTTACCATTCTGGCGAATTGCCCGATGATGCTGGATGTATTTACCAACGAAACGTCGTACTCAAACTGTAAATGTGGATTCACTCTTCAACACACCGGTGGGCTAAAGTAGTGAATTATTTGTCTTTTGTCAACGTGACACTTTTTTTGCTGATTGGCCGTGTCGGGTGGTGGAGGCTTACGACACATTTATAAATAAACGCGATCTAACCCAAAAACCTTTATTATGACTATACACTACACTACACAGTATACTACACTATACACTACACTATACACTACACAGTATACTACACTATACACTACACAGTATGCTACACTATACACTACACTATACTATACACTACACAGTATACTACACTATACACTACACTGTATACTACACTATACACTACACAGTATACTACACTATACACTACACTATACACTACACAGTATACTACACTATACACTACACTATAGACTGCAGAGTATACTACACTATACACTACACTATACACTACACAGTATACTACACTATACACTACACAGTATACTACACTATACACTACACAGTATACTACACTATACACTACACAGTATACTACACTATACACTACACTATACACTACACTATAATTGTAAATGCTGTAGTGGGTTTTACTCTCCAACCCAACTGGTGTGCTGAACTAAGTAACACATTGGCACGTTTTGTTTACGTGACAACCCCTTACTAATTACTCTTTGGTTCTATTGGGTAAAGTCACGTAGGTAAAAAATAAAATAACAAAAATCACGACGTTTCGGCCACAACACAAGCGGCCTTCATCAGGTGAAGGGACGAGACTGCCTGGAGGACAGCGCTGATTGGCTGTGTCGGTTATTATGTTTACGTGATCTCACACCACATACCAAGGGAGAAACACAAACGCATATAAACATTGTTTTTGCCCATATTGAAACGGCTGTACTCCGTATGGGCCTGAAAACTCAACATCCCTGTACAAGCATACTGAGTAAACCTCATGGGCTGATAGCTATGGACTTACAGGATACCATCGGTGGTAACATGAAATCGAATGACTCCCCGACAGCATGTATGATACATGATGTTAATTCAGAGGGGAGCCACTCAGCGTCAAGGGGCGGCCCAAAATTTGCCCTTTATCGATCCACAAATCGTCTCTTTAAGATCCATGAATTAAAATGTCACGAGTTCGGCCAATGCTCGAACACAAGACCCCGTTTAATCGAGCATTTGCCTCGTTAAAAAAATCTCCGTCGATTCCCCGTTCCACACATTCCTTCTACGGGCAAAGGACACGCTCGATTATGACGTCACATAGGGCCCTGCAACATTAACATGATGTCTAATTCAGTCGCGGATTCATTGCGCAGCATCCTGTTCCAGCGCAATGGCGAACGGAACCCATCAGCAACAATAACCGCGGTGACGTCACAACAGCGCTCGTGCCAGGCCATGTGCACGTGAAGGCCACGTGAAGTGTCGACCGCCCTCTGCTGGCAAGAGTTCATGGGACAGAGCCTGCAGGTGACCACGCCCACTTCGCTGAGGCCACGCCCACTTCACTGTGGCCACGACCACTTCGCTGAGGCCACGCCCACTTCGCTGTGGCCACACCCACTTCGCTGAGGCCACGACCACTTCGTTGTGACCACGCCCACTTCGCTGAGGCCACGCCCACTTCGCCGAGGCCACGCCCACTTCGCTGCGGCCACGTCCACTTCGCCGAGGCCACGCCCACATCGCTGAGGCCACGCCCACTTCGCTGAGGCCACGCCCGCTTCGCTGTGGCCACGACCCCCCTCCACACTTCTTGTCACTCTCCCTAGGTAACATGACACCTGACTTCCTCCTCTTTACTATGACGTCACTGAACCCCCCAAACCCCTCCCCCCACTTCTTGTCACTCTCCCTAGGTAACATGACACCTGACTTCCTCCTCTTTACTATGACGTCACTGAACCCCCAAACCCCTCCCCCCACTTCTTGTCACTCTCCCTAGGTAACATGACACCTGACTTCCTCCTCTTTACTATGACGTCACTGAACCCCCCCAAACCCCTCCCCCCACCTCTTGTCACTCTCCATAGGTAACATGACACCTGACTCTTTGGTTCTATTCGGTAAAGTCACCTACGTGACTTTACCGAATAGAACCAAAGAGTATGGATCCTTGCAGTCACGAAAGCTTTAAATCTAGAAATGACACCTGACTTCCTCCTCTGTGCTATGACGTCATTGACCCCCCCACCCCCCCATTGGCTTACGCACCAGAGACAGCCTTCCATTGTAGTCACCTTCCCGAGGTAACATGTCGCCTAGCTACCCACACTAAACCATGACATCACTGCCCCCCCAACCCCCCTTGCCATTCTCCCCTAGGTAACATGGCGCCTAATTACCCCTTGTAATTATGACATCACCCCCCCATCCCCCCCCACCCCTTGCCACTCTCCCAAGGTACCATGGCGCCCGGCTGCTCCCACCACGTCCCTTGCCCATCCCCCCCTGGCCTACACACCATAGACAGCCTTCCATTGTACTGTCATTCTCCCCTAGGTAACATGGCGCCTCGCTGTCCCCACTAAACCGTGATGTCACTTACCCCATTCCCCCTGGCCTACACACAGGACCGAATTAAGATTGTGTAGGCCCCTGGGCTCCAGGTACTGAGGCCCCCAGTAATATTTTCAAAAGTTAAAGTAAATAAAATATATTTTTACAAGGCTAACAACAAATAATCTGTGGAGGCCCTCCAGCTGGCGGAGGCCCCTGGGCTGCAGCCTCTAAAGCCCCGTGCCTGAATCCGGCTCTGCTTACACACCAGAGACAGCCTTCAATTGTAGTTATTCTCCCTAGGTAACATGGCGTCTGCCTGCCCCCACTAAACTATGACGACCACCTTGTCACTCTCCCTAGGTAACATGGCGTCTGTCTGCCCCCCACTAAACTATGACGACCACCTTGTCACTCTCCCTAGGTAACATGGCGCCTCGCTGCCCCTCTTAACTATGACGACCTTATATTCTTGGTTCATTCGGTAAAGTCGCGTAGAAGGGAAACAATGCAATAATAAAAACAATAAAAATTCTCACGACGTTTCGACCGCAACACAAGCAATCATCATCAGGTGTGAAAACCACAGCAAGACGACCTAATCACTCTCCCTAGGTAACATGGCGCCTGTCTGCCCCCTCTTAACTATGACGACCCCCTTGTCACTCTCCCTAGGTAATATGGCGCCTGTCTGCCCCCTCTTAACTATGACGTCTTTGACTCCACCCCCACTCCCTCACTCCTCCCCTTACGCCGCCGCCACCACCACCGGAGGAGGCCTCGGGCATGCCAAGATGGAGGCTTGAGAAGTTCACTGGCGGTGCGAGGGGAGTTGCGAGTGTGGAGGTGGCCGGGGTGGTGGGTGCTGGAAGCCTGCTCAGAGAGAGAGAGAGAGCGAGAGGGAGACATTACACTTGTTTGTTCGCTTCCTTCCCCCCTCTCTCCCGGCTCCTTCCGTGGGCGATGATCCTTCGCCATGACGACAGACGGAGCGAGCAAGCGGCAGTTCTGGAGGCGCGGAGGCAGTAGGTTACCTGGCAGGCGAGTCCCACCCCTACCCACCCACCCCGGGCTGGTGTGGGTGGAACGGCTTCTCGTCACGCCAGGGTCTATCCACTGCTACTGCTGCTGCTGCGTGGATCACCATCGCGATGTCTTGGCCGCTGTCCTTCCGCTCCGCGCTGCTTCCTCTTGGGCCGCGTCGTCTCTCGCCTCCTCTCTATCGCCTCCTCTCTCTCGCCTCCTCTCTCTCCCCTCCTCTCTCTCCCCTCCTCTCTCTCGCCTCCTCTCTCTCCCCTCCTCTCTATCGCCTCCTCTCTCTCCCCTCCTCTCTATCGCCTCCTCTCTCTCGCCTCCTCTCTCTCGCCTCCTCTCTCTCGCCTCCTCTCTCTCGCCTCCTCTCTCTCGCCTCCTCTCTCTCGCCTCCTCTCTCTCGCCTCCTCTCTCTCGCCTCCTCTCTCTCGCCTCCTCTCTCTCGCCTCCTCTCTCTCCCCTCCTCTCTCTCGCCTCCTCTTCCCCTCCACTCTCTCTCGCTCACGAACCTGCACAGGCGTCGGCACGCCGCTTCTCGCGGTGACCTCGCCATTGTACACGTTGTTACATCGGCAGACGAGGTCGATTCCACCGCTGGACGAAATCTTCAACCCCAGACCCTGAACCCCCAAACCCAGAACCCCCAAACCCTCAAACCCCCTCACCCCGAACCCCCAAACCCCCTGACCCGGAACCCTCAAACCCAGAACCCTCAAACCCCCAAACCTCCAAACCCCCTCACCCCGAACCCCCAAACCCAGAACCCCCAAACGTCCTGTTAACGTGCTGTAGATGTCATGTAACGTCTTGTAACGTGTGTGCGTGCGCGCACCCCCACAACCTCCGTATATGTGTGTGTGTACCCTCCTTCCCACACACACCCTGTGTGTGTGTGTGTACCCTCCTTCCCACACACACGCTGTGTGTGTGTGTGTACCCTCCTTCCCACACACACGCTGTGTGTCCCGTGTGTGTGTGTGTGCACCCTCGCTCACGGGTCAACTCCACAGTGACGATTATCTGAACCGGTCCTAAGCCTCCCCCTCGGTCGACTCAGTCTTAAATGACTACCTGGTGGGTGTCTAGTAATCTTCGCCACGAGGGATACAAAGGCGGCCGTGCTTGGTGCTGGCTACCAACCCCCTCGTGTGCTGTGTCCGCCTTCATAGGTGCTGCCCGCTAATGGCACTTGCCCCAACAGTCTGTCAAGGCTATCCGGGGGATCCTTAGTCTTTGTTTGCTCTCATGCGTGGGGTTACTCTTCCTGCCTCTCCGTGTCATCAGAAGTTCGCGTCTGCCAATTCTGTCCAAAATCATCGTAAGTGTCGTGGCCTATCACGGCCTATCCGCTGCTGGATGAAGATCATTGTGATGGCGTCTCTTAAGCCACTGGGGTCGATGAGCTTAGTTTGTTGTCCTCCCCCTCGCGCCTCCGATGAGCACGGTTGGCTATCTACGGTCCGAAAGAAGTCCAACTTAGTACTTACAGGGACTCCTGTACTTATAAACATTCGAGTTGCGCACTTTCTGAGATACGAACAAACCTGGTCCGTATGTCCAGTCGCCCGTTGAATCGTAAGTTCAACCGCCGTGCAATAGATGGCGGTGGTGGCATCTACATCTGCAGAACGTGAAGAACCGGTGGCATCTACATCTACAGAACGTGAAGAACCAGTGGCATCTACATCTACAGAACGTGAAGAACCAGTGGCATCTACATCTGCAGAACGTGAAAAACCGGTGGCATCTACATCTGCAGAACGTGAAGAACCGGTGGCATCTACATCTGCAGAACGTGAAGAACCAGTGGCATCTACATCTACAGAACATAAAGAACCAGTGGCATCTACATCTACAGAACGTGAAGAACCGGTGGCATCTACATCTGCAGAACGTGAAGAACCGGTGGCATCTACATCTGCAGAACGTGAAGAACCGATGGCATCTACATCTGCAGAACGTGAAGAACCAGTGGGATCTACATCTGCAGAACGTGAAGAACCAGTGGGATCTACATCTGCAGAACGTGAAGAACCAGTGGCATCTACATCTGCAGAACGTGAAGAACCAGTGGTATCTACATATGCAGAACGTGAAGAACCAGTGGGATCTACATCTGCAGAACGTGAAGAACCAGTGGCATCTACATCTGCAGAACGTGAAGAACCAGTGGCATCTACAAAACATAAAGAACCAGTGGCATCTACATCTGCAGAACGTGAAGAACCAGTGGCATCTACAAAACATAAAGAACCAGTGGCATCTACAGGAGATTATGCAACTTTTAAAGCCATTCACTGTGTTTAGTGTACACGCCGTACAACACGTCTCGAATCAACAGGAGTAAAGTTGGACTCGCGAACAAATCGACTTACGAACAGACACCTCTGGAACCTGACCCGTTCATAAGTAGAGTCCCTGGACAAACAACTTGCGCATCCTCGCCTCTCGGCAGAGTCCCCAAAGCGGTGCCAGGATTCTCAGGGTCACGCTGATTTGCAAATGAGTCTCTCAACTCACCGGGTGAAGCAAGATCGCCCCTCGACATTTAAACGACTCCGTGCTTCGCGCAAACTCTTAGAGCCCCCTTTTACGCTTCAATCGCGGCTGACTGACAACCCTGCACCGGACTTTTCCTCGGGTCGTAATGCGGCAACAGGGTAGCTATGGGGCGGAATGTCGGGATACATGTCTGCAAAATAAACTATGGGCACTTTTTTTTTATTTTACCACTGAGCTGTGTAGCTCTTTTTCAGAAGCGACCTGGCCGCCACAAACGATAGCTCAACGAAGTGGCTTATCATCATCATCATCACGTGGACATTATAGCAGTAGCCAAATACTCTTAAAGGCGTGATGTTGATTCTAAATGTGGAGGGAAAAAAACGCAGGATTTGGAGAAAAATCCACGCGACCACGGGGAGAGAGATAGAGATGGGCAAACTCCAATTATACAGCAGCAGGCGTCAGGGTAGGGATGTAACCCACGACCTCCTGTATACCAGGCGAGAGAGTTAACATCTCTACGGGGAGAGAGAGACACGCAAACTCCACATATACAGCAGGCGTCAGGGTCGGAATCGAACCCACGACCTCCTGTAGACCATGCGAGGGAGTTAACATCTTCTAACCACCGTGATGATGATGAGAGATGCAATCTCCAAATATACAGCAGGCGTCAGGGTCGGGCTGGAACCCACGACCTCCTGTCGACCAGGCGAGGGAGTTAACATCTCGCCACTGTGGCGCCTTTGGGTTATGGCAGTGGTTTGTTCGTTTATTTTGCGCACTCAACAACAACAACGACCGGGGGAGCGCCGAGAGTTGGCACATTTTTCAGCACAACTGGTGCATTGCCAGTCATCTCAGTCTGTCAACCAACCAGCGGGCACCTGCTGGGTCTGTCCCGTGACCTCTTGCTGCCAGCAGGGCCTTTGACAATTCACGTGATAGCCTCGGAGCGCACCTAGCCTGGCACAAGCGCCGTGGTGACGGCACCGCCACTTGGTGGTGAATGCCGGTTGTTGTTTGTTGTTTGAGTCGAAAGTAAAACACAGTGGTGGCCTCGTGCTTATGTGGCGGGAAAGGGTTGAGTGTTGCTCGTCGTTAGGAGCTGCTTTCATGAGTAGAACGCTTCACCCCAGGGCTTAATTTCTAACTAAATATTACGCGGGTCGTCTGTGTGTGTGTGTGTGCGCGTATCCACACACACCCCTTGTGACGAACAGCCACAGCAAGAGGTATTAACCGGGCGTGGTGTGTCGGGTACGGGAGTATTATCTGGGTCATCAACCCGGGCAGTCACTTGACTAACCCTACGCTTCCGACCCTAACTCCACATCTCGACCCTAGCCCCGACTCTAACCTTGTCCTTAGCTTTAACCCAACATAATCCAACCCCGGTGGCCATCCTGAAACCTGAATCCCCCATGCCTTTGGCTTTGACCATACGCCCTTAGCCATGGTTTAGCCCCTAGGCCTGACTCTAACCTTGACGTCGCTCACCCACACCCTGACCCTGCCCGAAATAGGAACGCGTGGCTAGGAGATGTTAACCATCTCGCCTGGTATACAGGAGGTCGTGGGTTTGATCCCGACCCTCACGTCTGCTGTATACGTGGAGTTTGCGTGTTCTCCCCGTGGTCGCCTGGATCTTTCTCCGGGTTCCTCCGGTTTTTTTCCCCTTCACCTTTAGAATCAACGTCACACTTTCACAGTATTTTGCTGCAATAAATGTCCACGTGACGATAAGCCACTTTGTTTAGCTATCATTGCGGCCAGGTCGCTTCTGAAAAAGAGATCTACAGCTCAGTGGGTCTTACCTGGTAAAATAAAAATAGTTTATAGTTTTATAGTCCATAGCTGTTTGATTAACACCATATCAAGTCCTATCCCTCACTGTCCATTAGCCCTGACAATGTCTCCAAACCCCCATCTCTTTTATTAATCCTGGGCTAGATTCCAACTTTTACATTAACCCATTGTCGAGGCCTGACCTAAAACCGTAAATCCTGCTGTTGGCTACTTACGGTGCGAAGAACGTTCCAACATAATATGTACGGGACTACACAGATATACAATGTCACCCTTGACCCAGGAGCGCGTGTGTGTGTAATAGTCAACTCACGATACCTGGGTCTGCCCCGTGACCTCGTGCCAGCAGCGAGCCTTCGACACTTCACGTGATAGCCTCAAAGTGCATCTAGCCCATCTCTGGTGATGTCACCGCTATGAATTGGCGGCTGTTGTTGTTGCGGTGCATGTCAGTCTGGTTTGTGTGTGTAGCTGTCTGTGTGTGTGTTTCTGAAGGTGTCTGTGTGTGTCTGTGTAGGTGTATGGTTGTCAGCCTCAAATGAGTACCTGGTGTGGTGTGTAAACATCGCCACTAGAGCGACAAAGGCGGCCGGGATGTGGTGCCTGCCACCCACTGCCTCGCGTGCCGCGCCGGCCTTCATAGGTGCCCACTAACAGCGCTTTCCCCAACGTTCTGTTGAGGCTATAACGGGTGGGGGGGTCTTTGTCTTTTTGTCTTGCAGCATACAGCAAGTGTATGGGGCACAGCATCCTCCCTTCAATCCGCAGCTGCTCAACAGGTGAGCGAGGCGGCGACGCGCAGTGAAACATCCAGACCAGTCCCGAGCCTACGTTAATGGACGGCCCTTTGTCGATCTGCTGCTGGATGATGAGGGGGCTGCCCCCACCCACCCCCCCCCAACGCCGTGGGGGTTATTGAAATCGTACTTCACGGATCGCGGATACAAGGGGCGGTAACGAGGTTTCTCCGCAGGGTTGCCGGGCTCACCCTCCCTGGTCGGGCGAGGAGCTCGGTAATCCGGGAGAGCCTCAGGGTCGAGCCGCTGCTCCTCCGGATCAAGAGGAGCCAGTTGAGGTGGCTCGGGCTCACCTGGTATGGGTGCCCCCCCACCACCACCCCGGTAGACTCCCCCTGGAAGTCTACCGGGCAGCAACGTCCCAGCTGTGTAGTGTATAGTGTAGTAGTGTATAGTGTAGTAGTGTATAGGCCCCACCCGTTGTATAATAGTGTATAGTAACGTAGAGTGTTTTAGTGTATAGTAATGTATAGTAGTGTATAGTGTAGTAGTGTATAGGCCCCACCCGTTGTATAATAGTGTATAGTAACGTAGAGTGTTTTAGTGTATAGTAATGTATAGTAGTGTATAGTGTAGTAGTGTATAGGCCCCACACGTTGTATAATAGTGTATAGTAACGTAGAGTGTTTTAGTGTATAGTAATGTATAGTAGTGTATAGTGTAGTCTATAGTAATGTTTAGTAGTGTATCGTGTAGTATTGTACAGTGTAGTAGTATATAGTAATGTATAGTAGTGTATAGTGTAGTAGTGTATAGTAATGTTTAGTAGTGTATAGTGTAGTAGTGTGTCATGTTTTATACAGTGTAGTATATAGTAGTGTATAGTGTAGTAGTGTGTCGTGTAGTATTATACAGTGTAGTAGTATATAGTAATGTATAGTAGTGTGTAGTGTAGTAGTGTAAAGTGTAGTAGTATATAGTAATGTATAGTGTAGTAGTGTATACTGTAGTGTAGTGGTATATAGTAATGTTTAGTAGTGTATAGTGTAGTAGTGTGTCATGTTTTATACAGTGTAGTAGTATATAGTAATGTATAGTAGTGTATAGTGTAGTAGTGTATAGTGTAGTAGTGTGTCGTGTAGTTTTATACAGTGTAGTAGTATATAGTAATGTATAGTAGTGTATAGTGTTGTGTAGTAGTGTATAGTAATGTATAGTAGTGTATAGTGTAGTGTAGTAGTGTATAGTGTAGTAGTGTATCGTGTAGTATTATACAGTGTAGTAGTATCTCGTAATTTCTAGCAGTGTATAGTGTAGTATAGTAGTGTATAGTGTAATGTAGTAGTGTATAGTGTAGTAGTGTATCGTGTAGTATTATACAGTGTAGTAGTATCTCGTAATTTCTAGCATTGTATAGTGTAGTAGTGTATACTGTAGTGTAGTGGCATATAGTAATGTATAGTAGTGTATAGTGTAGTAGTGTATAGTGTAGTAGTGTGTCGTTTAGTATTATACAGTGTAGTAGTATATTGTAATGTATAGTAGTGTATAGTGTAGTGTAGTAGTGTATGGTGTAATAGTGTATCGTGTAGTATTATACAGTGTAGTAGTATATAGTAATGTATAGTAGTGTATAGTGTAGTAGTGTATACTGTAGTGTAGTGGTATATAGTAATGTATAGTAGTGTATAGTGTAGTAGTGTATCATGTAGTATTATACAGTGTAGTAGTATATAGTAATTTATAGTTGTGTATAGTGTAGTAGTGTATATTGTAGTGTAGTATATAGTAATGTATAGTAGTGTATAGTGTAGTGTATAGTGTAGTAGTGTGTCGTGTAGTTTTATACAGTGTAGTAGTATATAGTAATGTATAGTAGTGTGTAGTGTAGTAGTGTATAGTAATGTATAGTAGTGTATAGTGTAGTGTAGTAGCGTATGGTGTAATAGTGTATCGTGTAGTATTATACAGTGTAGTAGTATATAGTAATGTATAGTGTAGTAGTGTATACTGTAGTGTAGTGGTATATAGTAATGTATAGTAGTGTATAGTAGTGTATAGTGTAGTAGTGTATCGTGTAGTATTATACAGTGTAGTAGTATATAGTAATTTATAGTAGTGTATAGTGTAGTAGTGTATAGGGTAGTGTAGTATATAGTAATGTATAGTAGTGTATAGTAGTATAGTGTAGTAGTGTGTCGTGTAGTTTTATACAGTGTAGTAGTATGTAGTAATGTACAGTAGTGTGTCGTGTAGTTTTATACAGTGTAGTAGTATGTAGTAATGTATAGTAGTGTATAGTAATGTATAGTAGTGTATAGTGTAGTGTAGTAGTGTATAGTGTAGTATTATACAGTGTAGTAGTATCTCGTAATTTCTAGTAGTGTATAGTGTAGTAGTGTATACTGTAGTGTAGTGGCATATAGTAATGTATAGTAGTGTATAGTGTAGTGTAGTAGTGTATAGTGTAGTAGTGTGTCGTGTAGTATTATACAGTGTAGTGGTATATAGTAATGTATAGTAGTGTATAGTGTAGTAGTGTATAGTGTAGTAGTGTACCGTGTAGTATTATACAGTGTAGTAGTATATTGTAATGTATAGTAGTGTATCGTGTAGTATTATACAGTGTAGTAGTATATAGTAATGTATAGTAGTGTATAGTGTAGTAGTGTGTCATGTAGTTTTATACAGTGTAGTAGTATATAGTAATGTATAGTAGTGTATAGTGTAGTAGTGTATCATGTAGTAGTGTGTCGTATTATACAGTGTAGTTGTATATAGTAATGTATAGTAGTGTATAGTGTAGTAGTGTATAGTAGTGTATAGTGTAGTAGTGTGTCATGTTTTATATAGTGTAGTAGTATATAGTAACGTATAGTAGTGTATAGTGTAGTAGTGTATACTGTAGTGTAGTGGCATATAGTAATGTATAGTGTATAGTGTAGTCTAGTAGTGTATAGTGTAGTAGTGTGTCATGTAGTATTATACAGTGTAGTAGTATATAGTAATGTATAGTAGTGTATAGTGTAGTAGTGTATAGTGTAGTAGTGTGTCGTGTAGTATTATACAGTGTAGTAGTATATAGTAATGTATAGTGTAGTAGTGTGTCATGTAGTATTATACAGTGTAGTAGTATATAGTAATGTATAGTAGTGTATAGTGTAGTAGTGTATAGTGTAGTAGTGTGTCATGTTTTATACAGTGTAGTAGTATATAGTAATGTATAGTAGTGTATAGTGTAGTAGTGTATAGTAGTGTATAGTGTAGTAGTGTCACATGTTTTATACAGTGTAGTAGTATATAGTAATGTATAGTAGTGTATAGTGTAGTATTGTATAGTGTAGTAGTGTGTCGTGTAGTATTATACAGTGTAGTAGGATATGGTAATGTATAGTAGTGTAGTAGTGTATAGTAGTGTATAGTGTAGTAGTGTGTGTCAGTAGTTTATACAGTTGTAGTAGTATATAGTAATGTATAGTAGTGTATAGTGTAGTAGTGTATAGTAGTAGTAGTGTAGTCGTGTAGTCAGTTTATATAGTGTAGTAGTATATAGTCATGTATGGTAGTGTATAGTTAGTAGTGTATAGTGTAGTAGTGTGTCGTGTAGTATTATACAGTGTAGTAGTATATAGTAATGTATAGTAGTGTAGTAGTGTATATTGTAGTAGTGTGTCGTGTAGTATTATACAGTGTAGTAGTATCTCGTAATTTCTAGTAGTGTATAGTGTAGTAGTGTATACTGTAGTGTAGTGGCATATAGTATGTATAGTAGTGTATAGTGTAGTAGTGTATAGTGTAGTAGTGTGTCGTGTAGTATTATACAGTGTAGTAGTATATAGTAATGTATAGTAGTGTATAGTGTAGTAGTGTGTCGTGTAGTATTATACAGTGTAGTAGTATATAGTAATGTATAGTGTAGTAGTGTGTCGTGTAGTATTATACAGTGTAGTAGTATATAGTAATGTATAGTAGTGTATAGTGTAGTAGTGTATAGTGTAGTAGTGTGTCGTGTAGTATTATACAGTGTAGTAGTATATAGTAATGTATAGTAGTGTGTAGTGTAGTAGTGTATACTAGTGTTGAGGAGTTCCTGACGACGACTCGGAGACGACTGAAGGTAAGGGCTTTCGCCAAAGGTTTATTAAGTATATTACGATAACACAAAAGGTGTGACAACTCCCAGGGGTTAGGGGTCCTACACTAAGTCCTGGTCCAGCCCGGCTAGCTCCGGTCTCTCTCCCTCGAGTCGGATGGGGGCACTAGCCAACCCCACCGACCGGGAAGAGCAGCACCTCCTACGGCTACCACCGGCTTCACTCCTGACTCTCGTCGATCCCTCTCTACTCCTGGTTCCCTCTCCACCCTTCTCACTCCACCCGTTCCCACAGTGACCCCACTTTCGTCACGGGGTCCCCCTTAAATACTAGACGAGACATGACGTCATCGAGGCGCCCAGCGCGCATGACGCCACGTTCCGTGACGTCATCGCACTGGACGGCACACATGACGTCACATCCCCATTTTACTCCTCTACATTACCCCCCCCTGTTATAAAAAAATTCAGCCGACTCGGCTGTAAAGAACATAAAAGTAGAGGAGTGCCGGAACCCTAACAACCACATTTACAACAACTGACAACACTATGGAAGTGGCTACGAAGACGGACCGCCCCCAAAACCAAACACAACACCAGGGCAGCCCGACAACAATAAAGTCAAATTTACGAAACCCACATCACTCGGTAACGACAATATTTTCAGCCCAGCCATAACACAACAACCGACACTTGGGCAGCCCCGACTACACACAAACCGACAATTTTGGCGATGAGGGCTGGAGGCCGTCGGCAGCGGTCCATCTGGTCTTCACAGAGCGCCTGCCCCAGCGCACACGCGCCGCAGGCCCGCCTCCCCACGCGGCATCAACCGCCAGGCCAGGCACCGCGCCGGCCGGTGACAGGCCCCGGGAGAGCTGCAGCAGCCCAGCGCTCCCCCCTCCAGACCGGGGCAGGCCACTCGTGGCGGCACCAGGGGTGAGCTGCGGAGGGCGAGTGGAGGCTCCCCCCCCCCCTCCCGCCTCCGCAGCCAAACCCCCAGGTGCGCACCGGCCCGAGCGGCGGCTCCTGCTGCCCACCCCGCGGCGAGAGGCGCAGCCGCGGCGTCGGCACGGCACCGCGCAGCACTGCGAGGTGCGGAGCCGCGGCAGCGTCGGCGGCCCGCCCCCCAGGCGCGGCTGCGGAGAGGGGCCGCGGCGCAGCCGGCGGCCCACCCCGCGACCGCGGCGACATGCGAAGCCGCCGCGGCGGCGGGCGCGGCAAAACCCGCAGGCGCGGCGAGGGGCGGAGCCGCGGCTGAACCCTCGGCCCACTCCGGAGCCACGGTGACGCCGGCGGCCCACGCCGCGGCCGCGACGACGTGCCGAGCCGCGGGCGCGGCAAACCCCGCAGGCACGGCGGCGTGCGGAGCCGCGGCAACCCGCGCGGCAACCCACGCGGCGAGGTGCGGAGCCGCGGCCGTACCTGGGGCCCCCCCGGCGGGCGCAGCGTGGTGCGGAGCTGCGGCGTCGCCGCCGGCAGACCTCGCGTGCTCGGCGGCACCCACGGTGGAGAGCGACGCCGCATGTCGGCGCCCATGGCGCCGACATGCGGCGTCGCAGCCAAAATGGCGGCCGCCTCCCATGGCGCCCCCGTCGGGAACATGGCGCCAATCTTAAAATTAGCGGGAAGCAAGTTGGCGGGAAACCGCCGCTCCCATCCAAAATGCGTGTCGAGCGCGCGCACCTTTGCCGCCACCTCCTCGATCTGGGCGCCGAGCTTCGCCATCGGCCACGCGAGCAGCTCCAGCTGCCCCGCGAATTCGCTCCCCGCGCCCGACGGCGGAGCGCTGGCACCCCCGGACGCCTTCTCCTCCCGCTCCATCCCCTTCCTCTTCTCAGGGGCCGTCACCGGGGCCCCGGACTCCGGGGTCACTGCCGAAGCCTCCTCCATGCGGTCTTCATCCTCCGATCGTCCCGTCGGTGGGTTCTTGCGCGCCGCTCCCGATGTTGACATAGTGACGGCAGCGCATCCCACTTCTAACACCAGTTGTTGAGGAGTTCCCGACGACGACTCGGAGACGACTGAAGGGAAGGGCTTTCGCCAAAGGTTTATTAAGTATATTGCGATAACACAAAGGGTGTGACAACTTCCCAGGGGATTAGGGGTCCTACACTAAGTCCTGGTCCAGCCCGGCTAGCTCCGGTCTCTCTCCCTCGAGTCGGATGGGGGCACTAGCCAACCCCACCGACCGGGAAGAGCAGCACCTCCTACGGCTACCACCGGCTTCACTCCTGACTCTCGTCGATCCCTCTCTACCCCTGGTTCCCTCTCCACCCTTCTCACTCCACCCGTTCCCACAGTGACCCCGCTTTCGTCACGGGGTCCCCCTTAAATACTAGACGAGACATGACGTCATCGAGCCGCCCAGCGTGCATGATGCCACGTTCCGTGACATCATCGCACTGGACAGCACACATGACGTCACGTCCCCATTTTACTCCTCTACACTAGTATAGTGTATCGTAGTGCTAGAGTTTGTCGCCAGGGACAGGGAGGTGTGGACCCCCACGACTCAACACGCTGCTGCTGCCGTGAACCTCACCAGAACAAGCGGACTGAAGAACGAACGAACGAACTTCCCCACGCTGGCAATCAAAGAGTTGGAAGGCCAACCACCCAGATGGGAGCTACGAAGGGATCTGAAACTAGAACTGAACTCTCTTTTATATTTTACCAGGCAAGGCCCCACCCGTTGAGCTACGTCGCTCTTTTTCAGAAGCGGCCTGGCCACAAACGATTTTCCGACGAGGTGCGGCGGCTCATCGTCACGCGGAAATGCATGGCGGCCAAAACGCTCTGGAACGCGTGTCGTTGATGCTGAACGTGGAGGGAGAAACCAGAGGACCCGGACCAAAAAAAATCCACACGACCACGGGGAGAACACGCAAACTCCAAATGTAGAGCATGCGTCAGGGTCTGGCCCAAACCCACGACCTCCTGTATATTGGGCGAGGTAGTTAACACCTCGCCACTGCGGCACCCAGCGAGGCTACTCGGAGGCTACCGCACAGGACTGGGTCATTGCCCTTCATGTAAGGGGTGTGGTGGAAGGGGGGGGGGCGATTGTGAGGCCACTAATTTGCCTCTCGCTCCATGGGAGATTTTGTAAACACATGGCCGGCCGGACTGGGCATGACACTGACGTGTTTTTAATTATGGGTGGAACCGTTGAACTGCGTGTGTGTGCACGTGTGTAGTGGGGAGCGGTGGTGTAGCGGTTAGCGCTACGCTGCGCTACGAACCTGGCACCCCAAAGGGGGGGCGGGCATAGTGGTAGTGGGGGTGGTAGTGGTGGTGGTGGGGGTGGTGGTGGTTGCTGGCCACCCACCCCTCCATCACTCCCTCGTGGTGTGGCCCATTCCGCACTCCGCCGGTCCTGGCTAACGGCACTTGCCCCAACAGGTGCGTTCAGGTTATACGTGAGAGGGGATCTTTATCTTGTGTGTGTTCGTGGTGGGGAGCGGTGGCGGTTAGCGCTACGCTGCTCTACAAACCCGGCGACCCGAGTTCGATTCCCGCTCACGGCCAACACCGGTGACGATTATCTGAACCGGTCCTGGGACTCCCCTATGTCGTCTCTGCCTCAAATGAGTACCCGGTAGGCGGTGTGTAAACACTGCCGCTGGGTAGACAAAGGCGGCCATGGCGTGGTGCTGGCCACCCACCCCCTTCGCGTGACGTGCCGGCCTTCATAGCGGCTCGCTAGCAGCTCTTGCCCCCGCAACTGCTAAGGCTGTACAGGGGAGGGCCATCTTCGTCTTTGCCCATCCTTTTGAGTGTCACTCTCCTGGCATGCCGGGTTAGCGTTTTCCCAGGGTTCTTCCCAGGTTACCTCCCGCACGAAGCCGAGCGCTCCTTGGGGTGGGCTGTACGTGCGCTCGTACGGGGGGGAGCTTCTTTCGCACCGCGGCGTAGGCAACCGTTGCTCATCGCCGAGGTTTCGCGCTTCGATTCCCGGCCGCCGCCCCCCCCCGGTTAAGACGGCGGCATTAACCCCTTCGCTGCTCCGAGATGTCTGCAAGTTGCTGGGTGGGTGTGCCCGCCCCCCCCGTCCCCCAGCGTTCACCGCTGAATCTCGTGAACGCGCGAGCGGCTCGCCGTTAATTTCATTTGGCGAGGCGTGGCAGCCGCGCCGTTGTTCTTGGAGGCGCCGTTGCTCACTGCAGAGAACTGCGGCGACACGGCCGCCGCACTCTAGGGTAGCCGGCGCCAAAGTTGTGCCACGCGCCCTCCCGCGTGGCCTTGCGGGAGCCTCGGTACGTCTTCCGACCTGAAGGTTGTGTTATTTTAGTTTGACCTACACGTACGTCATCGGAATTGTAAGCGGTTCAGGGTGACGGTCGAAGTTTGCCAAGTTTGAAAGTGACTCGGTTGGGATCGCACGCTCAGCAGCAATCACTGCCCCCTACTGGCAGCAGACCGGTGCCCCCCCCCAGGTCACCCTGCGAATGAGACTCATCATCATCATCATCCTGGTCGCTGGAGCTCTCAACTCGTTCTACAAATAGCAATTTTAAATTTGAACTCCTCGTTTTGTTTACTTTTTTTGTGGCTAGCTCCCGCACCTCCGAGTAGCGCACGGTTTGTGTACGTATGGTGCAAAAGAAGTTCAACGTACTTATGTACGTAGCAGGACTCTCCCGGAAAAGTCTTGAGACTCCGTGAGGCTTTGCCTGGTTACAAAAAGACATTAATACATGTGGTGATGTAGATGACGACGATGATTTGTGGACGTCGATGATGGTGGTAAGTTTCATAATGAATTGGACATTGATTTTGGAGCTGATGATAATGATGATGGTGTTGATTATGACCATGTCGTTGATAATGTTGCTTATGACGATGATGATAGTGATGATGGCAGCCCACCTCTGTGTGCTGGAGTTGTTGATGCTGATGATGTTGTTGATGGCGACAATGCTATTGATGATGCTGCTGATGAAGTTTCTGATGACAGTGATGAAGGCTAACCCACGTGTGTGTGCTCTGACAATGCTGCTGATGATGATGATGCTAATGATCATGCTAATGATGTTGATTATCATGATTTGATGATGCTGATTATTATTCTAATGACGATGCGCATGACATAATAATAGGGTTTTTCCACTTTTAATTCTGGCACCAAAACTGAAACCTTATTAATGTCTGCATTAACCACAATACCTGCAGTCAAAATGAAAACAAAAAACATACTATGATAATATATGCATTGTCCTTGAAACTGATTGGTCCACACCAAGGGACGGCTTTCTTTTGAGCCTCGACCCAATTGGTGCTCGACCAGATGACGCCAGAAGGCGTCACACAGCTCAAAGACAATGCACTATCAAAGTAATGAGGGCTCGGGGTGAGCATCTACATCATTAGACCTCGTTTGCCAGTACCAAAATGTAATAATAATAGGGAAAAACCCTATTATTACATTTTGGTACTGGCAAAGGAGGTCTAATGATGATGCTCATGACGACGCTTATGACGATGTTGACGATGCTAAATGATGATGCCGATGATGTGGATGATGGCGACTCTGCCGCCCTCTCTGTGCCGTCAGCGCTGGCAAGGGGGCCGTGGGGGTGCCGGCCGTGGGGCTAGCAGGGGGCCCAGTGTCCGGCGCGGTCGGGGGCAGTGCCCCCCTCTTCTCGGCCGTCTCCATGTCCGTGGGGGTCACGGTAGGAGGGATCGGAGGGGGCGGCAGCTCGAGGAAAGCAGCCTCCTTCCAGGTGAGCGAGGGGGTGGGTGGGTGACTGAGTGACTGAATGTGCGTGTGGGTGGGTGGGTGTGCGATGGAATGAGTGGTAAATGATTGGGTGGGTGAGTGAGTAAGTGGGATATTGTGTGCTTGGGTAAGTGAGTGAGTGGCTGAGTGTGGGTGTGTGTGTGTGAGAGTGAGTGAATGCTACATTATTGGGTGCGTGAGTAAATGTATGTGTGCGTTTGTGAGTGGGTGGCTGAGTGGGTGGGTGGGTGGCTGAGTGGGTGGGCGGGTGAGGGAGGGGGTGAGCGATTGAGTGTGTTGGTAGGTGACTGAGTGAAAAATGTGTGGGTGGGTGTGTGAGTAGCTGCCTGAGGTGCCATCTGTTGAGGAAGTACTGAAGGTGATCGGTGCCTTGAGACCAGAAAAGGCACCGGGGAGAAATGATCTCCCAAGCAAATGCTGAGGGGTGGCGTTTGTACACAGACTGCCCTACAAGACATCATAACAATAGTGTCTGGACCATTGGACGGGTTCCACAAGTTTGGAGGGATGCCCTGGTGGTCCTCCTCTTTAAAAAGGGGGACAGCACAGACTGTAACAATGACACGGGCATCTCACTCCTCAGTGTGCCGGGAAAGGTCCTGGCAAGGATTATTCAACATCGCCTTGCCAGGCACGCTGAGGAGAGGCTTGCGGAGCCCAATACGGTTTCAGGAAAGGGCGGTCCTGCACAGATGCCATATTTTTTGTCCGTCTGCTACAGCAGAGGTGTAGGGAATTTCAACAAGACCTACATCTCTGTTTTATTGACCTGGTCAAGGCCTATGATACCATCAGTAGGCCTGGGCTCTGGGTTCTTCATGCTCTCGGAATCCCTGACTTTCTGCTCACGATCATTAAGGACCTTCATGATGGTGAGCGGGCCCAGGTAAAACTACGTGGCCGGGAGTCGGAGCCATTCCCTGTACACATTGGGGTGCGACAGGGATGTCCTCTGGCTCCAACATTATTTAACATCTATTTCGACCACATAGTTCGTGAATCCTTCGTTGGCTGTACCGGAGGAATTTCCATCTGGTATAGACACAATGGGAGGCTGATCTATGCCCGGGTGCGGTCAAGGGATGGCTCCCTATTGCTCAACCACTTTATGTATGCTGATGATTTGGTAATAGCTGCTCACTCAGAGGAGGAGTTGGAGGCGCTGCTGCTGAACCTGGAGTTTGCCACTAAGAGGTGGGGCCTTACCATCAGCCCCACCAAAACTAAGCACCTGCCTGGGTATTTTGTACCATCGGACACTCTACCCCCACAACTCCCAATTGGTGATGTGGAAGTTGTGGAGAGAGTGGAGAGTTTCCCATACCTGGGCAGTATGCTCATGACTGACTCTGGTTTGACAGCCGAGGTCTCACTCCGAATCAGTCGAGCGGCATTATCTTTTCATCGGTTGCATAACGCTGTGTGGAAGCTACCTGGTCTGTCGCTCCGCACTAAGCTTCAGGTCTTCTCGGCCACGGTCATTCCCTCCCTTCTCTACGCTTGCGAAACGTGGATCCCCCTAATGAAACATCTTTGCTCGTTTGAAACATTTAGGCTTGCCCCCCTACGATCCATCCTGGGTTTAACCAGGCTGGATTGTGTTTGGAGCTTGCAAATCCTTGAAAGACTTGGACAAAGTCCCATCGGTGAGCTCCTCCGGCAGGCAAGGCTGCATTGGCTGGGTCATGTAGCCCGCATGCCAAGCCACCGAATGCCTAAACAGCTTTTTTGGGGGCTAAATGAGCGTGGCAATGGCTAGAGAAAAGATTGAGTGATGTGGTACAGGAGGACGTGGAGCTGAGTGGAATTGCCGATGACTGGTACCAGCGGTGTCAAGATCGGCCTCTGTGGAGGAGGCTCGTGAAGGACGCTACTGGGCAGTTGGAGGCAGTCACCCTCCAACAACAACGTGCACATAGCCTGGCACAAGTGCCGTGGTGACGTCACCGCCACTTACCGGCGAATGGCGGTTGTTTTTGTCGTGTGATTGAGTGAATGAACGGTAAATGAGTGGGTGAGTGAGTGGGTGAATGTGTGCTTGGATGAGAGAGCAAGTGAGTGAGCGGGTGGGTGTGTGAGAGTGAGTGATCGGTAAATGATTTGGTGAGCGAGTGGGTGAATGTGAGTGGGTGAGCAGGTGAACGGGTGTGCGGGTGAGTGAGTGACAATGCGTGAAAGACTGTGTAAACTATTGGATGGGTGAGCGAGTGATTGGGCGGCAATGTGAGCAGCTGAGCCATTGCCTGCGCAATTGAACAGCTGAGCAATAGTGCTCCCCCCCGCCCCCGCAGTGATGGAGTGAGTGTTTAAGTGGGTGGTTAAGTGATTGGTGGTTGTTTTCATTCGGTGAGCAGTTGATGAATTGACCCATCTATTGATTGAGGCCTAACTGCACGAGTGAGCTGCTGGACCATCGCCTAAGCAATTGAGCGGCCTCAATCCGCCACTCCCCCGCCCGGCCGCCCGTGACCACCCACCGACACTCTTCCCCTATCCCTCATTTCGGACACACTCGTGTGGGGCAGCTTGAGTCGTCAGTCGATTGGCTAACTGAGCAGACGTGGCCGAGTGAATTTGGGAAGTTGATTGAGTGGTCGCGTCGGCGTGAAAGCGCGTGGGTTGGGCGCGGGGTCGACGGTTACTGGATTTTCTCGGGCGTCTTCAACGATTGAGTAGCCGAAGAGCACCCGGAGAAATTCCACACGCGCGGCAAGAGGCCAGCGCTCTATCCCGTACAGATGGAGCAGATGGAAATTAGTCCGCACTCTGCAGTCACTGCCTTTCCTCTCGATGCCCACGGGAAGGGAGTTTTGCAACATCCGTGTGTGATCCACCAACCCTTCGGTGTTGCCTCCACGGCGCTGGGTTACAGGCAGCCACGTGCAGCATAGCCCCCACCAACACTACCAACACCACCACCAACATCACCACCACCAACACCACCACCAACACCACCACCAACACCACCACCAACATCACCACCAACACCACCACCAACACTACCAACACCACCACCAACATCACCACCAACATCACCACCACCAACATCACCACCACCAACACCACCACCAACATCACCACCACCAACATTACCACCACCAACACCACCAACATCACCACCACTAACACCACCACCAACACCACCACCAACATCAACACCACTACCAACATCACCACCAACATCACCACCACCAACATCACCACCACCAACATCACCACCACCAACACCACCACCAACATCACCACCACCAACACCACCACCAACATCACCACCACCAACATTACCACCACCAACACCACCAACATCACCACCACCAACACCACCACCAACATCACCACCACCAACATCAACACCACCACCAACACCACCGCTCACACTCTGCAGCCACCACCTTCCCCTGGCGAGCCACGCTACGGCTCCTCCTCTCTCGACATCCGCACGCGATCCGTCAACCCTCGACTTCCTCCACAACGTCGCCGGCTCGCAGTCCACGCAATTGTAGCCACCGCCTTCACGCCTCCCCCCCCTGTGCCCCCCCCTCCCCTGTGCCCCCCCCTCCCCTGTGGCCGTGCACCCCCCAGGAGTTTGCGGCGGACACGAGCGACGCATGGGACGCGGAGCCCAGCGACGACGAGCTGCTGAACATGGCGACGCGCGGCCTCGCCTCCGACGTGGTGATGTCGACGGCGCGCGAGGTCATCCAGAAGCACGAGCGCCGGCGCCGCTCCGCCGGGCCCACGCCCCGCGGTGGTGGTGGTGGTGGTGGCGGCGGTGCCGAGGAGGAGGAAGGGGGAGGAGGAGGGGAAGCCGGGGAGGGAGGAGGGGAGGGCGCCACGGGACCCGAGGGTCGGATGGTGAAGTCGCAGAGCGAGTTTGTCATCTCGGGGAGGGTGGCCGGTACGTACGGGAGGGCGGGCGGGCGGGCGGGCTGGCGGGCGGGCGGGCGGGCAAATGAGCGGTGGGACAGATGGACAAATGAGCGGGTCGACTGGCGGGTGCAGGGACAGATGGGCAGGTGGAGCGACGGACAGACAAGCGGGTGTGATGGAGGGATGGCTGGGTGTGATGGTGGGTGTGATGGATGGCGGGTGTGATGGAGGGATGGGTGTGATGGAGGGATGGAGGGATGGGTGTGATGGAGGGATGGGTGTGATGGAAGGATGGGTGTGATGGAGTGATGGGTGTGATGGAGGGATGGGTGGGTGTGATGGAGGGATGGCTGGGTGTAATGGAGGGATCCGCGGGACAGACGGGTGAGCAGACTGACAGATGAAGTTGACAGAGGGACGGGCGGAGAGATGCGAGGGGCGGGCGGACACTGGGGACGAGTTGCGGGGGTTGTTTGACTTCACCGCGTTGGTCAGAGCGGCCTTGTGGAGGCGGAGTGGTCGGGGATCTGTCCGGGTAACCCGGCCGTAGGCATCGGCACAGCGGAGAAACTTCACAACTCGCCAATCGTATCGACGATGCAACCATCGTGGCAGCGGATCGCAACCACCACAACGATACGAACCCTTTCCCGTTCCCAGACATCTGCAAGTTGCAGGGTGGGTGTCCCCCGCTCACCGATGAATCTGGGCATGTGCAAGCGGCTCGGCGTTTCATTTTACTTGGGCAGGAGTGGCGCCGTTGTTTTTCAAGACCTCGTTACCGCAGAGAGCCGTAGCGACACGACCGCGTTCTACGGTAGCTGGCGCCAGACCGTGCCACAATCCCTCCCGCGGGGTCTTGTGGGAGCCCCGGTACTGAGAGAGTTATTTTCCGTTGGTTTCTATTCCGGTGTTGCGTTGACGATGTACACGCGCGTCATCGGAATGGAATCCGCGGAAAAGCTGATGATGGAACGTGCACCTACACATCTGTCGTCATCACCTACGCCATCACGTACATGTACACGCACGTCCCGTACTTACACTACGTCATCACGTACGTCATCACCACGTACTTGTACACGTATGTCATATACATGTACACCCAAGTCATCATGACGTACGTATCCACGCGCGTCACACGTACATGCTTGTCATCGCATGTACACGTACGTCATTTGGAACGGGAAAGGGTTAACAACACAGCAACCACAACTAACAACAACAATCACAGCGACCAGCACCCTGGCTGGCAAGGGGCTCACACCGGCGCTGCCATTGGACTCGTCTGCGTTGCCCATTCGGGGAATGGTGGCGTAGCGGTTAGCACCGCACTGCACTACAAACCCGGCAGAGGCCCGAGTTTGTTCCCCGCTCGTGGCCAACGCCAGTGACGATTGTCGGGAACCGAACCTGAGCCACTGGGGAGACAAAGGCGGTCGGGCGTGGTGCTGGCCACCCACCCCCTCGTGTGCCGTGCCGGCCTTCACAGGTGGTTCACTAGACAACACTTGCCCTAACAGTCTGTTAAGACTGTATGGGGGTCTTCATCTTTTGTTGAGAGCCACGTGACCCTAACCCTGACATTGACCCCCTAATCTTGACTGAAACCCACACTCTAAACTTCGCCCTAACCCTACGCCTGATCCTAACCTTTAACCCCAACCCTTAACCCCATAACGACGACCCCCAGTTTCCAGTGAACCCCAACGAACCCCACGACAGCCGGTATTCCTTTCCCGGTCGGTATCCTCGCGCGTAAATCCGAAATCTCTCGCGCCAAACCTTAACGCAACCCCTATCCCCAAACCTCCGACTCCGTCTCTAACCCTCGTTCCCTTACCCAGTCCTGATGCTAACTCCACCGCTAACCGCAACTCTGACCTTAACCTCTGACCATACCCGATTTGATGATGCGCGCAAATTGCCTGATGAAGCCGGCCATTGTGATCGCCAGCGAAACGTCACAGCGGTCGGATTGCAAACGTTGTGGGTTCACTCTCCGGACATCGGCGTGCCGGAGTTGTAACCAATTGGCGCTTTTTCGTTCACGCGGCAAACCTTGCCAATTGGCCGTGTCAGGTGGCGGCGGGCTTAACGACACACGTTTATATATTGACGCGATGTAACCCAACATCCTCTTAGTGTGGATGATATTGGTCGTGGAAGCCAGCTACTGCTGCGTGTTAAACGGAGCGAGTCTCGTCTGCATGTCCACCACACGTACTCTGTGTGTGTGCTTAATGCAGACTTCGATTCCTTGCTAAAGGCATCCGTTTGGTTGTTTGAACATCGTTAACAAATTGTAAAATGTCGTGGATTTACTCTCCAGCACACCGGTGGGCTGAAGTAGTAACCAATTGGCGCTTTGTTTACGTGACAAACCTTACTGGCTGTGTCGGGTGGTGGAGGGCTACGACACATTGAGACTTGCGCACTCTAACCCATGCACCTTTATTATTAATCTTTAACAGCTGTTTTATTGTCAGAAAGGGATAAAACCTATTCTTGTTTTTCATACTCTTACACTGGCAAAAAAAGGTCCCATGATATATATATTGTATTCATACTGGAGGAATCCGATGAGCTATGAAGCTCTTTTCCACAGATCTTACCCAAATAAAAAGTTAATTGCGACTAACCCCTAACGTTTGCTAACCTCGTGCCGTCCGTTCGCCCAACCCTTGATCCCCAACCCCCCTCCCCTGGCCTCTGCCCCCCCCCCGCACCCCCCCCCCCCTCACAACCCCCCCCACCCCCGTCCAGGCGGTTTGGAGCGAGGGTCGTTGCCACGGCAGCAGTCGGTGACCCTGCCGCCGCCGTCGCGCCCGGTCATCCCCCTGGTGGCGCGGATCGCCGACCAGAACACGACGGGCTCCATGTCCCTGCACGACCGCGACGCCGCCAAGCTCGACAAGTTCCACCAGCTGCTGGCGGCGTCCAACACCGACCTCGGTGTGTGTGTGTGTGAGTGAGTGTATGTGTGTGTGTGTGTGCGTGTGTGTGTGTGTGCACTGGAGTGTGTGTGCGTGCGTGTGTGTGTGTGCGTGTGTGTGCTGGAGTGTGTGTGCGTGTGTGTGTGTGCGCTGGAGTGTGTGTGTGTGTGTGCGTGTGTGTGTGTACTGGAGTGTGTGTGTGTGTGTGCGTGTGTGTGTGTGTGTACTGGAGTGTGTGTGTGTGTGTGCGTGTGTGTGTGTGTGTACTGGAGTGTGTGTGTGTGTGCGTGTGTGTGTGTGCGCTGGAGTGTGCGTGTGTGTGTGTGTGCTGGAGTGTGTGTGTGTGTGTGCGCTGGAGTGTGTGTGTGTGTGTGAGTGTGTGTGTGTGCGCTGGAGTGTGTGTGTGTGCGTGTGTGTGTGTGCGCTGGAGTGTGTGTGTGTGTGCGTGTTTGTGTGTGCGTGCGCGCATGTGCGCTGGAGTGTGTGGTGTGGGCAAGGTCCATCGGTGAGCTCCTCCGGCAGGCAAGGCTGCGATGGCTGGGTCATGTAGCCCGCATGCCCAGCCACCGCATGCCGAAACAGCTTTGTTCGGCCGGATCGAGGGGGCTAAACGGGCGCGGCACGGGCTAGAGGAGAGATGGAGTGACGTGGTACAGGAGGACGTGGAGCTGAGTGGACTTGCCGATGACTGGTACCAGCGGTGTCAAGATCGGCCTCTGTGGAGGAGGCTCGTGAAGGATGCTACTGGGCAGTTGGAGGTAGTCGCCCTCCAACAACAACGGAGGAGCAACGCTCACAACAACGAGCGGAGCGCCGGGTGGCTAAAGCACAGCAGGTTGGCACAGTAGGGGGCACAGGTAGTGCATCAGCCAGTCATCTCAGTCGACCCGTGGCACCTGGGTCTGCCCCGTGACCTCCTGCCAGCGGGCATTCGACACTTCACGTGGCCTCAAAGATGCACATGGCCTGGCACAAGCGTCATGGTAACGTCACCGCCACTTAGTGGCGAATGGCGGTTGTTGTTGTTGTGTGTGTGTGTGAGTGTTTGTGAGTGTGAGTGCGTGAATGTGTGTGAGTGTTTGTGAGTGTGAGTGCGTGAATGTGTGTGAGTGTTTGTGAGTGTGAGTGCGTGAATGTGTGTGAGTGTTTGTGAGTGTGAGTGCGTGAGTGAGTGTGTGAGTGTTTGTGTGGGGAGCGGTAGTGTAGCGGTTAGCGCGCTGCACTATGAACCTTGCGACCCGGGTTCGATTCTTGCTCATGGCCAACACCAGTGACGATTATCTAAACCGGTCCTGGGCCTCCCCTAGGTCGACTCAGCCTGAAATGAGTACCTGGTGCGGTGCATAAACATCGCCACTGGGGAGACAAAGACATTCGGGCGTGGTGCTGGCCACCCACCCCCTCGTGTACCGTTCCGGCCTTCATAGGTGCTGCTCGCTAACAGCACTTGCCCCTACAGTCTGTTAAGGCTATACGAGGGATCTTTGTCTTTGTGTGCGTGCGCGTGTGGGCAGTGGTAGTGTCGCGGTTGCCGCGCCTTGCTACGAACCCGGCTATCCGAGTTCGATTCCCGCTCATGGTCAACACCGGTGACGATTAACTGAACCGGTCACGGTCTCCCCTAGGTTGACTCGGCCTCAAATGACTACCTGGTGCGGTGTGTAGTAAACTTCGCCTCTGGGGAGACAAAGGCAGTCGGGCGTGGTGCTGGCCACCCACCCCCCTCGTGCGCCGTGCCAGCCTCCGCCGTGTGTGTCTGTCTCCTGCGTGTCCCCTTGTCTCCTTCAACGTGTCTCCTCACTTGTCTTTGTGGCCCCGTGTGTAACCCCCCTGTGTGTCCCCGCGTATCCCTGTGCGTAGAGGAGCTGCGGAAGCTGAGCTGGTCGGGGATTCCCAAGCCCGTGCGGCCGGTCACATGGCGACTCCTGTCTGTGAGTCCCGCGCATTCAGCCAATCGCATGACAGACAGGTCGCTCACTCAGCCGATCACGTGACAGATGGGTCACTCGCTCAATCAATCAGACGACAGACAGGTCGCTCACTCAGCCAATCACGTGACAGATGGGTCACTCGCTCAACTAATAACACGACAGACAGGTCGCTCACTCGGCCAATCACGTGACAGATGGGTCACTCGCTCAACTAATAACACGACAGACAGGTCGCTCAATCGGCCAATCACGTGACAGATGGTTCACTCGCTCAACTAATAACACGACAGACAGGTCGCTCACTCGGCCAATCACGTGACAGATGGGTCACTCGCTCAACTAATAACACGACAGACAGGTCGCTCACTCGGCCAATCACGTGAAAGATGGTTCACTCGCTCAACTAATAACACGACAGACAGGTCGCTCACTCGGCCAATCACGTGACAGATGGTTCACTCGCTCAACTAATAACACGACAGACAGGTCGCTCACTCGGCCAATCACGTGACAGATGGTTCACTCGCTCAACTAATAACACGACAGACAGGTCGCTGTCTCGGTCAATCACGTCACAGCCAATCGCACAACAGAGAGGGACCTCTCGCTCGGTGACGTGCCGTGTGTAGTCACAGTAGGCCGCGCGTTGTCATGGTACCGCGCTCATCGCCGTGACGACCGCCCCCAGGGTTACCTGCCGGCCACGTCGGAGCGCCGGGAGCCGACGCTGCAGCGCAAGCGACTCGAGTACTTCAGCTTCATCGAGCAGTACTACGACTCGCGCAACGAGGAGCACCACCAGGACACCTTCCGCCAGGTGCTGCCCGCTCGCCCGCCCGCTCACCCACCCTCTCACACACCCGCCCGCTCACCCGCCCGCTCACCCGCCCTCCCACACACCCGCCCGCTCACCCACCCGCCCGCTCACACCGCCCGCTCACCCACCCTCTCACACACCCGCCCGCTCACCCGCCCGCTCACCGGCTCGCTCACCCGCCCTCCCACACACCCGCTCGCTCACCCGCCCGCTCACTCAAACTGTCGCCCGCTCACTCATCTTCCCACTTGACCATTGTCTGCCGCTCACATTCCTTAACTTCCTTTGCCCACTTTGGCCACCCGCCCGCCCGTCTTCTCACGCGCTCTCTCTCTCTCTCTCTGCTCAACAACTCTCGATCACTCGCAGGCACGCTCACGAAGCGCTCCTGCCCAGTCGCTAGCACGCACGTTCGCCCGCCCTCTCACTCGCCCGCCCGCTCGCTCACCCGCTCGCTCTCTGCTCACTCGCCTGCCGAGTCTTCGACGCTGCCGCCGCCCAACTACTCACCTATCCACTCGCTCGCCCAACTACTCGCCCACTCCTCCACCCGGCCACTTGCTCACCTGCCCAGTTCCACCCACTCACACCCGCCCACCCACCCACCCATTTGCGAAACCATCCAGTCCACTCGCCACAAGTCTTCACGTGTGTGTTGTGCATTGATCAAGATGACTGCGATCAGGCTGGCTGTGCCGGGGCATGAACAAATAAGAATAGGCTTTATCCAGGTCGTAAGAAGTTTAAACACCAAATAGGTGATAGGCCGATCAGTTTAAAAGACAATGCATATGCTTTCAGATTACGTTTGTTAGCATGTTTTGTCACAAGTACGTGTGGCTAATGCAGACTATGATGCCTTGCAATAGGTTTGTCTATTTTGATGTTTGAACATCTTAACACGACTCTGGTTTTATTGCCAGAGTAGGCTAAAGCCAATTCTTATTTTTTTTCCATCATTTTCATAGTGGCAAAAAAAGTTCCATAGATATCTGTGGGGGGCGTGCCCGTTGTGCGGGGGGCGTGCCCGTTGTGCGGGGGGCGTGCCCGTTTTGCGGGGGCGTGCCGTTGTGCGGGGGCGTGCCGTTTTACGGGGGATGTGGTCGTTTTAGGGGGCTGTGGCCGTTGTAGGGGGGCGTGGCCGTTGTGGGGGGGCGTGGCCGTTGTGGGGGGGGGGGCGTGGCCCTTGTGCGGGGGGCGTGGCCCTTGTGCGGGGGGCGTGGCCCTTGTGCGGGGGGCGTGGCCCTTGTGCGGGGGGCGTGGCCCGTGTGCGGGGGGCGTGGCCCTTGTGCGTGGGGCGTGGCCGTTGTGTAGGGTGGGCGTGTGTAAGCAGCAGTGTTTTAAAATAGTTTTTGAAGAACCGGTTTGCCGCACGCACGTACGTACAGTTACATCTGGAGCGGTAAACACGACGCACGTCGAGACTTTATTAGCTGGCACACCAAGGCAGCAGCAGCTGCTGCTGCTTGCCACAGTGGTGTTAGAGCGGTCAGCAGCATCAGCAGCGGACACGCTGGATTCGCAATCCCGAGATCGCCGGTATACCCCCAGGCTGGGACAAGCGCCGTGGTGACGTCACCGCCACTTAGTGGCGAATGTGTAACCCTGTGTGTGTGTGTACCACCTCGTGTGTGTGTACCACCTCGTGTGTGTGTGTGTAACCCTGTGTGTGTGTTTCTACGTGTACCACGTGTGTGCGTGTGTGTGTACCACCTCGTGTGTGTGTGTACCCCGGTGTTGGAGTGGTAATGTAGCGGTTAGCGTGCTGCGCTACGAACCTGGTCGTCTGAACCTGTCCTGGGCCTCCTCTAGATCGACTCGGCCTCAGATTAGTACCTGGTGTGGTGCATGAAAAATCATTGCCACTGGGGAGTGGTGCTGGCCACCCGCCCCCTCGTGTACCACAGTGCCGGCCTTCGTAGGCGCGCGCTAGCAGCGCTCGCCCCAAAAGTCTGTCCGAGCTGTACGGGAGATGTTTGTCTTTGTACCTACCCGTGTGCCCCTGCGCGTGTGGACCCGTGAGCACAACAGATCTGTATAGACGTGCCGCGCATGGGTCCGGTGGGCCTGGTGTCGCAGGCGAGCGTGACCCAGGTGAGAGCCGCCCGCCCTCCCTCCCTCCCGCTCGCCTCAAGCGGCGCTAACCCGGCCTGCGCTGCTGTGTCTGCCTGCGCTACCCCGTCCCCTCCGTCCCCTCCGTCCCCTCCGTCCCCGTGTCTCTGCAGATTCACATTGACATTCCCAGAACTAACCCTCTCATCCCACTCTTCCAGCAGCCGGCCGTGCAGGAGGTGAGACCCCCCCCCCAACTCCCCAACTCCCCAACTCCACCTCGGCTCTAACAAGCAACAGCGGCGGCTGCCGCTCGTTCTGCTGCCAGTGCTGCTGCTGCTGCTGCTGATACCAATTCTGTTGTGCTGCTGCTGCTGATGCTGCACGTGCTGCTGCTGATACCAATTCTGTTGTGCTGCTGCTGCTGATGCTGCACGTGCTGCTGCTGATACCAATTCTGTTGTGCTGCTGCTGATGCTGCACGTGCAGCTGCCACTACTGCTACTGTCCAATCTTATTGCTTGTGCTGCTACCAGTACTGCTGCTACCAATTCTGTTGCTTGTGCTGCTACCAGTGCTGCTGTCAGTGCTGCTGTCAGTATCTGCTGCTAACAGTTCTGTTACTTGTGGCTGCTAATGCTACCAGTGCTGCTGCTGCTGCTGCTCGTACTGCTGTTGCCAGTGCTGTTGCTAGTGATGGTGCAAGTGCTTCTTACTGCTGCTGTTGCTGCGAGTGCTGCCTCCCCGTGCTGCTGCTGCTGCTGCCACTCGTGCTGCGAAATGTATATCCAGGGCTCCCTCGCAAAGACGCTGCAGTCTCTTAGGGAGTCCTCACCTCGTTATGAATGCACGCGTGTGCGTGAGCGTGTGTGGGGAGCGGTAGTGTCGCGGTTAGCGCTACGCTGCGCTACGAACCTGACCCCGGGTTCGGTTCCCGCCTCACGGCCAACACCAGTTGACGATTATCTAAACCGGTCCTGGGCCTCCCCTAGGTCGAGTCAGCCTCAAATGAGTACCTGGAGTGTTGTGTAAACATCGCCAATGGGGGGAGACAAAGGCGGCCGGGCGTGGTGTTGGCCACCCCACCCCCTCGTATGCCGTGCCGGCCTTTATAGGTGCAGCTCGCTAACAGCACTTGCCCCTACAGTCTGTCAAGGCTGCACGGGGGATCTTTGTGTGCGCGTGTGCACCTGTGTGTGCGTGTGTGCACCTGAGTGTGCGTGTGTGCACCTGTGTGTGCGTGTGTGCACCTGTGTGTGCGTGCGTGCACCTGTGTGTGCGTGCGTGCACCTGTGTGTGCGTGCGTGCAACCTGTGTGTGTGTGCGTGCACCTGTGTGTGCATGCGTGCACCTGTGTGTGCGTGTGTGCATGCGTGGTGTGCGTAGTGTGCCACCTGTGTGTGTGTGTGTGCACCTGGGTGTGCGTGTGTGCATGCGTGGGTGTGCGTGTGTGCACCTGGGTTGTGTGTGTAGTGCGCACCTGGTGTGTGCGCACCTGTGTGTGCGTGTGTGTGTGTGTGCGTGTGTGTGTGTGTGCACCTGTGTGTGTGTGCACCTGTGTGTGCGTGTGTGCACCTGTGTGTGTGTGTGTGCACCTGTGTGTGCGTGTGTGTGTGTGTGTGTGCATGCGTGGGTGTGCGTGTGTGCACCTGGGTGTGTGTGTGTGCACCTGTGTGTGCGTGTGTGTGTGTGCACCTGTGTGTGTGTGTGTGCACCTGTGTGTGTGTGTGTGCACCTGTGTGTGTGCACCTGTGTGTGTGTGTGTGCACCTGTGTGTGTGCACCTGTGTGTGTGTGTGTGCACGCTGTGGCTCAGCGGTTAGCGCTACGCTGCGCTGCGAACCCGGCGACCCGAGGTCGATTCCCGCTCACGGCCACCAACACCGGTGACGATTATCTGAACCGATCCTGGGCCTCCCCTAGGTCGACTCGGCCTCAAACGAGTACCTGGCGCGGTGTGCAGTAAACATCGCCGCCGGGGAGACAAAGGCGGCCGGGCGTGGTGCTGGCCACCCACCCCCTCGTGTGCCGTGCCGGCCTTCATAGGCAAAACTCGCTCGCAGCACTTGCCCCAGCAGTCGGTGAAGGCTACACGGGGGATCTTTGCCTCTGTGTGTCCTCAGATCTTTGAGCGAATCCTCTTCATCTGGGCGATCCGCCACCCGGCCAGCGGCTACGTGCAGGGCATCAACGACCTCGTCACGCCCTTCTTCGTCGTCTTCCTCGCTGAGCACGTCGGTGAGACTCCTCAACCTCCTCAACCTCCTCAACATACTCCCTCTCCTGCCCCCCCCCCCCCCTCTCCTCCATGCTTGATTCTCAAGCACCACCTCCACCTCATCTTCTCCTCCCCTCCTCCTCCTCCTCCTTCCTTTCACCCTCCCTTCCCCCCCTCAACCTCCTCCTCCCCCCCCTCCTCCCTCTCCCCTCCCACCCTCCCCACTCAACCATCTCCCCACCCACCTCCTCTTCCCTCCCCCCTCAGCTACCCCTCCTCCCCTCCCCCTCCACCCTCCCTTCACCCCGTAAGCCACCTCCTCCCCTCCTCCTCACCCCCTCAACCACCTCCTCCACCCTCCCCCTCCCCTCCCCCTCGTCCCCCTCTCCTGCTTTCTCCCCACCTCAAGCACCTCTTACCCCCCCCCCAACGACCTCCCCCCCCCCCCCCCCCCTCCTCCATACTCCCTCCCGTCCCATCGTTCCTCCATCCTCTTCCACCATGATGATGACGACGATGATTTTGACGAGGACGTCGTCGATGATGACGGTGATGACGACGACGCCGGTGACGTCTGTGTTGTTGCCGCCACCACTACCGCTGGTGGCTCTGTGATGACGACGATGACGCTGTGCGATGACGACGATGATGACGACGATGATGACGACGATGATGACGACGCTGTGCGATGACGACGATGATGACGACGATGATGACGACGATGATGACGACGCTGTGCGATGACGACGATGATGACGATGATGACGACGATGATGACGATGATGACGATGATGACGATGATGACGACGATGATGACGACGCTGTGCGATGACGACGATGTGGGCGCAGAGGAGGAGGTGGAGAACTTCGACGTGGCGAGTCTGCCCGAGGAGACGCTGCGCAACATCGAGGCCGACAGCTTCTGGTGCATGAGCAAACTGCTGGACGGCATCCAGGTCGCGACCCCTCACCCCCGACCCCTCACCCCCGACCCCCTGACCCCCGCACCTTCGACCGTGGCGACGTCACCCAGCGGCGGCGCGTTTTTTTTGCCGCTCGTTGCAGAGGTCCGCGGTTCGCATCCGAACGTCCGCCCTGTTGAATCGCGGTGGGCGCCCACATGTCAGCTGCCTCGCCCGACTTCGTTGGGCTATCACTCGTGATGGCCAGGCCACTTCTGAGCTACACAACTCAGGGAGGCCTTTAACTGGTGGAAATAAACAAATGGTTACGTTTCTCGTTTTAGTTTCCGCCAGATTGTTCGCCGCAACAACAGCTTCCGCCGCACGCGCACACACGCGTGACACGCACACACGCATGAACTCGCACACGCGTGTGTGACACGCACACGCGTGTGTGACACGCACACGCATGAACTCGCCCGTGTGGGTTGACAGCGATGGGCGGGAGTCCTTGCTAAGATTTCTCAGTAGGGGGGGTCGGGGGGGGGCGATGGTTGCCAACGTGCGTTGCTCCTCGCTCCGGCCATTGGTGGCGTGATTTTCCCCGCTCGGGCCCCAGCCGCTGACCGTGGCGGGGCCTACCAGACTCGCGACGGTGAGCCCTCTGCAGCAACAAGGCGCGACCGCGTCACGCCTGCTGGTACGGCGCGGTGTGGGCCGCCAACCTCTGCCTCCCCGGGGTTACCGACGCTTGACACGCGGTCACTGGGCGGTCGCTTGAGGCCCTGCAGCCGTTCAGATGTTCAAACGATCACAATCGGAACATTTATTATTTGCGACGGAGGAATCCGCTAAGCTATTAAGCTCCCCGCACACACCGCCTTCAACGAGTACCCGGCGCGGTGCGTGAAACTTCGCCGCCGGGGAGTCGAGAAGCCGAGAGGTTTAATGGCCACACCAGTCTCCTCGTGCTTGCGGCTCTCTTAACGGCGATGGCGTTTACCGCGCCGCCGGCGGGATCCGGCAGCGTCGGCGGTGACGTCGCGATGCCGAAGGGCGCTCGCTCCCACGGTCTGTCAGAGGCTACGCGGGGGGGGGGGAGCGCGAGTGTGACCGTGGACCCTTGAACGTGGGTGTGCTTGTGTTGGCAGGACAACTACACGTTCGCTCAGCCGGGCATCCAGCAGAAGGTCAACGCGTTGAGAGAGCTCGTGCGCAGGATAGATGGTACGTGACACGCTTAGCACACGCGCAGCACACGCACAGCACACGCACAGCACACGCACAGCACACGCACAGCACACGCGCACCGCATGAGTAGCACACGTGCCTCCACACCACGTACATCACGCGCACCACACGCACCAAACATACATCACACTCCACCAAACCACACGCGCACCACACGTATATCACCCGCGCACGCACGACACTACATTCACCACATACCCACCACGTACACACAATGTACATAGCCACACATGCACCTTACACGACGCACCACATACACCATAAACACCACACCACAAGCTCGCTGGCAGGAGGTCACGGGGCAGACCCAGGCGCCACGGGTCGACTGACTGAGATGACTGGCTGATGCACCACCTGTGCCCCCTACTGTGCCAACCTGCTGTGCTTTAGCCACCCGGCGCTCCGCTCGTTGTTGTGAGCGTCGCTCCTCCGCCCTCCGTTGTTGTTGGAGGGCGACTGCCTCCAACTGCCCAGTAGCGTCCTTCACGAGCCTCCTCCACAGAGGCCGATTTTGACACCGCTGGTACTTCTTACTTATCTTACTCCTCTTCGCCACCCTGCGGAGCATAAGGCCGCAACAAGCCCCACGCCATGCCGGGCGGTCTCTAGCAGCTTTCTCCGCCTCGCCCCAAGACAGGCGGGGCCCCCCCCCCCCCCATGGTCTCTGGTTGGTGTTGAGCGGCGCGTCGCCAGGAGGCCTTCGGCCTGCCCCGTGCTCTTTTCCCTGCCTTGTGGTGTCCCCCCCCCCACCGTAGGGCGGCCTTCGCTATGGGGCTCGGGTTCCATTCTCAGCACGTGGTGTCCCAGCCACACCCGAGTCTTCTCTCTCCGTCATGCCCCCCACCCCCGCGTTGTGGGTCTTGAATTGGTCTCGATGTGCAGGCCCCGGTTTGACATCTTGTTTGGCCGGAAGATGCGACAGATTTTCCTCGGGCAGTTTGTTGTGGAAGGTTGATGGGGGGAGTTAATTTTATTCTTGGTCGTTGTTGTACGGTAACGCTGATTTCACATCGCCGTTACATGTTCGTACCTTTGTCTTGAAACTGTTTTGGCCAGACTGCCAGATGTTTCTCAGTTGGAGGAAGGTGCGTCTTGCCTTCCTTATTACGGTGTCAATGTACGTACAACTCTCAACCTGTGCCAGTGGTTTTCCCTTGGTTGTTGTCTTTGTTGTTGCTGCTGCTGCTGCTGTGTCGATCCTCATTTCTTTGGGTCTTTTCTACATTTTACCTGCAGGCCTAGTAATAACAGCAAACTGGCTCAAACCGAGTTATTTTCTCCTGCATCATGGGTTTGTTTAGAAGGGAGCTGAGCGATGTCATCTGCGAAGTCAAGATCTTGGAGCACTGAGAAGGGGGTCCACTGGACTTTCCCTTTGGGAACTCTCTTGCGGTGCATCTCAAAACCGGTGATCTCATAACCCCCCAGTGGCGATGTTTACTACACACCGCACTGGGTACTCGTTTGAGGCCGAGTCGACCTAGGGGAGGCCCAGGACCGATTCCGATAATAGTCACTGGGTGTCGGCCGTGAGCGGGGAATCGAACTGGGGCCCACCGGGTTCGTAGCGCAGCGTGGCGCTAACCTGCTACACCACCGCTCCCCACGCTCACGCACGCTCACGCACGTGTGTGCGTGACGATTATCTGAAGCGCTCCCTGGGCCTCCCCCAGGTCGACTCGGCCTCCAATGAGTACCTGGCGAGAGGGACGATGGGAATAAAACTCCGCCACCGGGGGAGACAAAAAGTGGGTCCGGGGGCGGTGTGCTTGGCCAGCCCGCACCCTGCGTGCGCTAAGGCGGAGCACTTGCCCCGACGGCCCGCTCAAGGCTATCCGGGGGGGTACCTTTGTCTGTGCGCAGAGACGATCCACCGGCACGTGGCGCAGCACGAGGTGGAGTACCTGCAGTTCGCGTTCCGCTGGATGAACAACCTCCTGATGCGTGAGCTGCCACTGCGATGCACCATCCGCCTGTGGGACACCTACCAGGTACACTCACCACCACTCGCTCACCAGGTACACTCACCACCAGCACCACTCACCAGGTACACTCACCACCAGCACTCACCAGGGGGACACCTACCAGGTACACTCACCACCACTCGCCTCACCAGGTACACTCACCACCACTCGCTCACCAGTACACTCACCAGGTACACTCACCACCACCACCGCTCACCACCACTCGCTCACCAGGTACACTCACCACCAGCACCACTCACCAGGTACACTCACCACCAGCACTCACCAGGGGGACACCTACCAGGTACACTCACCACCACTCACTCACCAGGTACACTCACCAGGTACACTCACCACCACCACCGCTCACCACCACTCGCTCACCAGGGGGACACCTACCAGGTACACTCACCACCAGCACTCACTCACCACTCGCTCACCAGGTACACTCACCACCACTCACCACCACTTGCTCACCAGGTATACTCACCACCACCACTCACCAGGGGGACACCTACCAGGTACACTCACCACCACCACCACTCACCACTCACTCACCAGGTACACTCACCACCACCACTCACCACTCACCAGGTACCCTCACCACCACCACCACTCACCACCGCTCACCAGGGGGACACCTACCAGGTACACTAACCACCACCGCTCACTCACCACCGCACACTCACCAGGTACCCTCACCACCACCACTCACCACCGCTCACCGCTCACCAGGGGTACACCTACCAGGTACCCTCACCACCACCACTCACCACCGCTCACTCACCAGAGTACACCTACCAGGTACCCTCACCACCACCACTCACCACCACCACTCACCACCGCCCACTCACCAGGGGTACACCTACCAGGTACCCTCACCACCACCGCTCACCACCACCATTCACCACTGCTCACTCACCAGGGGTACACCTACCAGGTACCCTCACCACCACCGCTCACCACCACCACTCACCACCAGCACTCACCACCACCACTCACCAGGGGTACACCTACCAGGTACCCTCACCACCACCACTCACCACCACCACTGCTCACCAGGGGTACACCTACCAGGTACCCTCACCACCACCACTCACCAGGGGTACACCTACCAGGTACCCTCACCACCACTCACCACCACCACCGCTCACCAGGGGTACACCTACCAGGTACCCTCACCACCACTCACCACCACCACCGCTCACCAGGGGTACACCTACCAGGTACCCTCACTGCCGGGCGCGGTGCCAGCCGGCAACCCAGCCCTGCTGTGCGCCGCCTCGACCTTCATAGGCGCCGCTGATCGCTTAACACCACTTGCCCCAACATTCCCTTAATGCTACCTGGGTGTGGTGGGGGTGGGGGAATTTCTGTCTTTGTTTTGTGCGTGACAGTCGGAGCCGGAAGGGTTCTCCCAGTTCCACCTCTACGTGTGTGCAGCCTTCCTCATCCACTGGCGCAAGGAGATCCTGGCGGAGAGAGACTTCCAGGTGAGCGGGCGCTCGCCACCGCACGCCACACCCAAGGCAAAGGTCCCCCGCGTAGCCCCAACAGAGCGTCGGGGCGAGTGCCGTTAGCGAGCGGCACCTGCGAAGGCCGGCACGGCACACGAGGGGGCGGTGGACGGCCGGCACCTCGCCCGGCCGCACCGGGTACTCGTTTGAGGCCGAGTCGGCGTAGGGGAGGCCCAGGACCGGTTCAGATGATCGTCACTGGGTGTTGGCCGCGAGCGGGAATCGAACCCGGGTCGTCGGGTTCGTAGCGCAGTTCGTTAATTGCTACAATACCACTCCCCACACCCCGCATGGCACTCGCCGCCGGACTGCTGATGATTCCTAAGCCTCTCGTCGCCGATTTCAATCGCCAGTTCCTCAGCCGGGTGGTGAGCCGTGATGATGACTCCTTGCTGCGATAGCCCTTGGCTCAATCAACGATTCGCTCGCTGGCTGGTTAACCGACTCACTGATTTGCTCGCTCATTCACCGGTTCACTCACTTACTCATTTGCTGGTTCACTCACTCGCTGGTTAACTCGCTCAGTGATTCACTCGCTGATTCGCTCATTCGCTGCTTAACTCGCTCAATGATTCACTCGCTCACTCGCTGATTCGCTCACTCGCTGGTTAACTCGCTCAGTGATTCACTCGCTCACTCGCTGATTCGCTCACTCGCTGGTTAACTCGCTCAATGATTCACTCGCTCACTCGCTGATTCGCTCACTCGCTGGTTAACTCGCTCAGTGATTCACTCGCTCACTCGCTGATTCGCTCACTCGCTGGTTAACTCGCTCAATGATTCACTCGCTGATTCGCTCATTCGCTGGTTAACTCGCTCAATGATTCACTCGCTCACTCGCTGATTCGCTCACTCGCTGGTTAACTCGCTCAGTGATTCACTCGCTCACTCGCTGATTCACTCACTCGCTGGTTAACTCACTCAATGATTCACTCGCTCACTCGCTGATTCGCTCACTCGCTGGTTAACTCGCTCAGTGATTCACTCGCTCACTCGCTGATTCGCTCACTCGCTGGTTAACTCGCTCAATGATTCACTCGCTCACTCGCTGATTCGCTCAATCGCTGCTTAACTCACTCAATGATTCACTCGCTCACTCGCTGATTCGCTAACTCGCTGGTTAACTCGCTCAATGATTCACTCGCTCACTCGCTGATTCGCTCAATCGCTGCTTAACTCACTCAGTGATTCACTCGCTCACTCGCTGATTCGCTCACTCGCTGGTTAACTCACTCAGTGATTCACTCGCTCACTCGCTGATTCGCTCACTCGCTGGTTAACTCGCTCAGTGATTCACTCGCTCACTCGCTGATTCGCTCACTCGCTGGTTAACTCGCTCAATGATTCACTCGCTCACTCGCTGATTCGCTCACTCGCTGGTTAACTCGCTCAATGATTCACTCGCTCACTCGCTGATTCGCTCACTCGCTGGTTAACTCGCTCAATGATTCACTCGCTCACTCGCTGATTCGCTCACTCGCTGGTTAACTCGCTCACCGATTCGCTCACTCGTTCACGCAAGGAATCCCTGACTCGCTCACTCCCTCACTTATTCACTCACTCGCTCACGGATTCGCTCGCCCGTTCACTCCCCCCGATCACCGATTCCGCCTGACGATGAAATCGCAGGGGTTGGACGGGGGCCTCATTCCATTCGGCACGTGCGGGACTTGTAACCCCCGCCTCTCCCTCTTTCCCTCACCGCCCCGCACACAACGCAGGGCCTCATGATCCTGCTGCAGAACCTCCCCACGATGCACTGGGGTAACGAGGAGGTGAGCGTCCTGCTGGCCGAAGCCTACCGCCTCAAGTACATGTTCGCCGACGCCCCCAACCACTACCGGCGCTAGCGGGGGGGCCGCGGGGTGGTGGAGGGGTCTGGCGGCGTTTGGGGGGTGGGGGTGCGGGGGTGGTGGGGGGGGGGGGCGGCACGCAGAATCAACGGGCGCCCACGAAACCACGACGGCGGTGGTGACGACGACGCTGACGATGCTGACGACGATGATGATGCTGACGATGACGGTGACGCTGATGACGCTGACGACGATGACGGTGACGCTGATGACGCTGACGACGATGACGGTGACGCTGATGACGCTGACGACGACGACGGTGACGCTGATGATGCTGACGACGACGACGGTGACGCTGATGACGCTGACGACGACGATGATGCTGACGACGACGCTGACGCTGACGGTGATGCTGATGACGCTGATGACGCTGATGACGACGACAATGACGCTGACGCTGACGATGCTGATGACGACGACGATGACGACGGCGGCGGCGGCGGCCGTGCCGAGGTAACGACGGCGACTGTGGAGGAGGCCGAGGAGCAGGCGGCGAGATGAGTTCACAGGAAGTGATGTCGTCACTCCCCGGAGGGACTTTGAAGGGAGATGCGCGCGGGGGGAGGGAGAGACGGAGGTTGGAGAGACGGCTGATGGAGCGTGCGCGTGTGTGTACTCGTGCGTGTGCGCATGTGTGTACACGCGTGTGCGTGTGTGTGTACACGTGTGTGTGTGTGTACACACGTGTGTGTGTGTGTGTGTACACGCGTGCGTGTGTGTGTACACGCGTGCGTGTGTGTGTACACGCGTGCGTGTGTGTGTGTACACACACGCGTGCGTGTGTGTGTGTACACACACGCGTGCGTGTGTGTGTGTACACGTGTGTGTGTGTGTGTACACGCGTGCGTGTGTGTGTACACGCGTGCGTGTGTGTGTACACGTGTGCGTGTGTGTGTACACGCGTGCGTGTGTGTGTACACGCATGTACGCGTGTGTGTGTGTGTACATGCGTATGTGTGTGTACACGCACGTACGTGTGTGTACACGCGTACGTGTGTGTACACGTGTGTGTGTACACGTGTGTGTGTGTGCGCTACGAACCCAGCGTCCCAAATTCGATTCTCGCTCACGGCTAACATCGGTGACGATTATGTGAACCGGTGCTGGGCCTCCCCTAGGTCAACTCGACCTCAAGTGAGTACCTGGTGCGGTGTGTAGTAAACATCGCCGCAGGGAAGACAAAGACGGACGGGCGTGGTGCTGGCCACCCACCCCCTCGTGTGCCGTGCCGGCCTTCATAGCTGCTCGCTAACAGCACTTGCCCCTACAGTCTGTTGAGGCTATACAGGGGGAGATGTTTGTCTTTGTGTGTGTGTGCGCGTGTGTGCACACGTGCACGGGGAGTGGTGGTGCAATGGTTAGCCCACCCCGCTGCGAACTGGGCCATCTGATTTACATCCCCGGCCCTCCTCTAGGCGTAAGCAGCCTTGAATGAGTACTTGGTGTGTGGTGTGTAAACTTAAAGCACTGGGGGAGACAAAGGCGGCCGGGCGTGGATTCTGACCACACCCCCTCCTCCCTTGTGCGCTGTTCCAGCCTTAATAGGTGCTCGCTGACAGCACTTGCCCCAACAGTGTGTGTAGGCTACACGGGGGATCTTTGTCTCTGTACGCTGCGCTACGAACCCGGCGGCCAGAGTTCGATTCCCGCTCACGGCCACCAACACCGGCGACGATTGTCTGAACTGCTCCTGGGCCACCCCTAGGTCGACTCAGCCTGAAATGCGGTGTGTAACAACATCGCCACTGGGGAGACAAAGGCGGCCGGGCGTGGTGCTGGCCACCCACCCCCTCGTGCGCCGTACAGGCCTTCGTAGGTGCTGCTCGCTAGCGGCACTTGCCCCGACACTGTTACAGATTATATGGGGGATCTTTGTCTTGTTTGTGCATGTGTGTGTGCGTGTGTGAACTCGCGTGTTGCTGAACGTGTTTCCCGGTGGCGCTGGAGGCGCGCGAGCCTCGCCGTTGTTAACGCGCCGGCGGTTCGTGGCGCCGCTCCGGCCAGCGTCACCCCCACGTGACCGCAGCAACGGTGCGCCACTGCATCAACCAGTGGGGGGTGGGGGGGCGTGGTCTGACGTTGCGACGTCACTGGCTAAGTGACGTCGCAACGTCGCTGGCGTCGCTGTGTTGTGGCGACGTCGCTGGCGTGTGGCGACGTCGCTGTGTTTGGTGACGTCAGTGTTGTGGTGACGTCGCTGGCGTGTGGCGATGTCACTGGCGTGTGGCGACGTCACTGGCGTCGTGACGATGAAATCACAGGGGTTGGACGGGGGCCTCATTCCATTCGGCACGTGCGGGACTTCTAACCCCGCCACACTGCCTCCCATCGCTCTCTTGTTTACCCCTCTCAGCTCGCCACCCTGCGCCTCTCTCGCCCACAGCCACTCCCATCTCTCACTCCGCCTCTCTCCTCTCGCCTGCACCGCGTCCCCCCCCACGTCCCCCACATCCCCCACGTCCCCCACGTCCCCCACGTCCCCTACGTCCCCCACGTCCCCCACGTCCCCACATCCCCCACGTCCCCCACGTCCCCACGTCCCCCACGTCCCCCACGTCCCCCACGTCCCCCACGTCCCCCACGTCCCCCACGTCCCCACGTCCCCCACGTCCCCCACGTCCCCCACGTCCCCACGTCCCCCACGTCCCCACGTCCCCCACGTCCCCCACGTCCCCCACGTCCCCCACATCCCCCACATCCCCCACGTCCCCCACGTCCCCCACTTCCCCCACGTCCCCCACGACCCCACGTCCCCCACGTCCCCCACGTCCCCCACGTCCCCCACGTCCCCCACGTCGCCCACGTCCCCCACGTCCCCCACGTCCCCACGTCCCCCACGTCCCCCACGTCCCCCACGTCCCCCACGTCCCCCACGTCCCCCACGTCCCCTACGTCCCCCACGTCCCCCACGTCCCCACGTCCCCCACATCCCCCACGTCCCCCACGTCCCCCACGTCCCCCACGTCCCCCACGTCGCCACGTCCCCCACGTCCCCCACGTCCCCCACGTCCCCCACGTCCCCCACGTCCCCACGCGCCGTCTGCCGTCACGGCGGTGGTATTGGTCGTGCCGCTCACGTGGCCCGGCTCCGTGGCCTGGCTCCGTGGCCCACCGGTCAAAACACCTCGGTGGAGAGGGAGGCGGAGAGGGAGGTAGAGAGGGAGGGGGAGGTGGAGGTGGAGGGGGAGAGGGAGGGGGAGTTGGAGGTGGAGGGGGAGGTGGAGGGGGAGGTGGAGGGGGAGGTGGAGGGGGAGTTGGAGGGGGAGTTGGAGGGGGAGTTGGAGGGGGAGTTGGAGGGGGAGTTGGAGGGGGAGTTGGAGGGGGAGAGGGAGGGGGAGAGGGAGGGGGAGGTGGAGGGGGAGGTGGAGGGGGAGGTGGAGGGGGAGGTGGAGGGGGAGTTGGAGGGGGAGTTGGAGGGGGAGTTGGAGGGGGAGTTGGAGGGGGAGTTGGAGGGGGAGTTGGAGGGGGAGTTGGAGGGGGAGTTGGAGGGGAGTTGGAGGGGAGTTGGAGGGGAGTTGGAGGTGGGAGTTGACCCACGCCGTGGGGGGGGGGGGAGGGGGGGTCATTGCTCGTGACCCCTGCCCCCCCTGGCAGCACAGAGGGACGGGGAGGTGCCCCCCCCCCCCTTAGCCCGGACCTCCCCGCGGTCACGGTGGTGGCCGCTGTGTCGCGGCCTCTTGATGAGCGTCTCCCGCTCCTCCCTGAGGTGGAGGCGATGGGAGGGAAGATACCTGCCTGTTGGTGTCTCTCTGTCTTTCTCGTCACTTCTTTTGGGGGGGGGGCGGTGGGGGAGGGGGGCAGCGGGGGGGGGGGGCAGTGGCGGTGGGGGAGGGGGGCAGGGGGGGTCAGTGAAGGCGATGGAGGAATGTGGTCAATTGTGGAATTTATTGAAGTTTGGAAGTGGAGTGTGGAGGGAGGTGGCATTTTTTCTGAACCTCACGGAGGGTCCCCCCCTACCCACCCACCACCCCTTACCCCCCCCCCCCCACCACCCCCCACCAACCCCGTCACGCGATTGAAAATGATCGTCGTAGTTGAGCGAAGGCGTAGAGTGATTTATACATAATATTATATCGGTGAAAAGAGACGAAATATAAATCTTTTTTTGGTTTAAAAATAAGAAATACACGTGATGATGATGACGCTGACGACGACAGAAATTGTGGTTTCACGTGGGCGAGGGGTGAGCAGTGTGTGTGTGTGCGCGCGCCTGTTTGTCTCTCTCTGGGTCTCTTTAACTCTCTTTGTATTTTAAAATCTTAAACAGAATTTACGGAACCTGACTGGTCCCTGCCCTCGCGCTGTAAATATTAAAGATCCTGGTGTAAATACAAACTCCTGTGTCGCGTCATGTGGCACGCTGTCTCTCTCTCTCTGTGTGTCTCTCGCTGTGTGTCTCTCTCTGTGTCTGTGTGTCTCTCTCTGTCTTTGTCTCTCTGTATCTCTCTGTGTATCTATCTGTGTCTCTCTCTGTCTCTTGCTGTGTGTCTCTGTGTGTCTCTCTCTGTCTGTGTGTGTCTCTCTCTGTCTGTGTCTCTCTGTGTAGCTCTCTGTGTCTCTCTCTGTCTGTTTCTTGCTGTGTGTCTCTCTGTGTGTCTCTCTGTGTGTCTCTCTGTGTAGCTCTCTGTGTCTCTCTCTCTGTCTGTCTCTTGCTGTGTGTGTCTCTCTCTGTGTGTCTCTCTCTGTCTGTGTGTCTCTCTCTGTCTGTGTGTCTGTGTATTTCTCACTGTGTGTGTGTCTGTGTATCTCTCTGTCTCTGCCGGTCTGTCTGTCTCTCTGTGTGTCTCTCTCTTTGTCTCTCTATCTCTCGCTGTGTGTCTCTCTCTGTTTGTCTGTGTATCTCTCTGTGTGTCTCTGTCTGTCTATCTCTGTCGGTCTGTCTTTCTGTCTATCTGTGTCGTCTCTCTGTGTATCTCTGTGTATTTATCTTTGTCTCTGTCTCTCTGTATCTGTGTCTCTCTCTCACTGTGTCTCTGTGTCTGTGTGTGTATCTCAGTGTGTCTCTCACTGTGTCTCTCTGTGTCTCTGTGTGTGTATCTCTCTGTGTGTCTCTCTCTGTCACTGTGTCTCTCACTCTCTCTGTGTGTGTATATCTCACTGTGTCTCTCTCACTGTGTCTCTCTGTCTCTGTGTCTGTATCTCTGTGTGTATCTCTCTGTGTGTCTCTGTCACTGTCTCTCTGTGTGTGTCTCTCTGTCACTGTGTCTCTCTCTCACTG